GCACTTTGTTTCTTCCTTTTCTCATGTGGTCTTCATTTACCATGGTCTCCTATTCCTTGTTCTCCTTCTCTGTTCTTGATCCAGCTGGGATCTCCCGCTCTCTTTCCCTCGACCTTCGCCCTTCATTGCTCCCACTCATGTCCAGGTTGTTCATGAAGATCTCAGCCATTTCTCCGTCATTGGGCGATCCTCGTGTCTTTCTTGGGGTCCTGTTTTCCAGGTAGCCTCACTGATGATGTGAGTAGCAGTCTAGTCATCCTTGTTCCACATCTAGTAATCCTGAGTGTTATTTTCTTTTTTTATTATAAGAAATTTTTTATTCAATTTACATACCAACTTCAGATCCCCCTTCATCTTCCCACTTCCCATCCCCCAGCCTTACCCCAACACCCCCCCTCCCCACATTTCCCAAGTCAAGGTCTCCCATGGGAAGTCTGCAGAACCTGGCACACTCAGCTGAGGCAGGTCCAAGCCCTTTCCCACTGTACCAAGGCTGTGCAAGATGTTTTCTTAACTGATGGTGAGGTCCATTGTGCTGCTATAGCAGGTCTTGTAGGCACGTTTGTGGAGAACAAAGGGCAGATATATGAGATCTGAGCTGGCTAAATACCCAACAATCAAACTCAGGTCCTTAGGCCTCGCAGCAAGTGTATTTACCTGCTAAGCCATCTTACTGGACTTGATATTAACTTTTTTTTGAGACAGGGTCTCAAGTAGCCCAGGCTAGCCTCTACCAAGAATGACCTTGTAGTCCTGACCCTCTTACCTCTAATTCCTGAACACCAGTATTATGGGGATCTGCAGACACATGCATTTGATGAGGTGTTGGAGATTGAATCCAAGGCCTTATTCATGCTGAGAAAGCTCTCTCTACCAATTGACCAGTATCTCCAGTGCACAGCTAGATTGCTTTCATAAAGTAAAATGTGTAACAGAAAACAGTGAGTCTAAATGATGACTTGAGGACACTGAAATGTTGTATTAAAGAAATGGATTTTAATGTGGACTTTAAGGGTAAAGAAGGTTTTTATTATTGCTAGTTGATATTCCTCACGGAGAAGAGCTCCAAGTCATGAAAAAGACAGAAGGAAAGTAGATCTAGGAAAATTAGGAATCATTTCAAAAAACCACAATAGCTGTACTTACTGAAATCTTTTTTTTCTTCTTTTTCTGAAATATTTTGAAAACATAAATAAAATAGACAAAATAGATTTATGTGATCATTAGAGATTTGGCATTGATTAAACACTGATGTCAAGTATCATTCATTATTTTGATTTTTCAGCTTGAGAAACTAGATGTCTGTTCACTAAGTTTCCATTCTTTTGAAGGCGCACACTTAAGGAAGTGTGCACAGATGAAGAAGACATTAAATTTCATATACAATACTGCAGTCAGGTTAGATACAATACAGTTGTTCATGTCTTTATACTTGTTGGTGCTGGCTAGAGGACTCCTGCAGTTTTTGTATTTTTTCCCTTCCTTTACCTAAGTTTTAATTTTTCCATAATGAAGGCTTTAATTGAGAGCAAGTAGAAATTTGTTCTAGTTTCCTTTCTTTTTTTTCTTTATTTTATTTTACATACCAACCAGAGCTTCCCCTCCCTCCTCTCCTCCTGTTCCCTCCCCCCCCACCTCCCTTCTACCCTCCCCCATCCACTCCTCCTCTCTCTCCATTCAGATGGGGTAAGGTCTCCCATTGGAATTAACAAAGCATGGCATATCAAGTTGCTGTAGGACTAAGCTCCTCCCCCCTGCATCAAGGCTAAAGAAGGCATCTCACCATAGGAAATAGGTTCTAAAGAGCCAGCTCATGCATCAGGTACAGGTCCTGGTCCCACTGTTAGGGTCCCCACAAAAAACCAAACTATACAACTGTCACCCAGATGCAGAAGGCCTAGGTCAGTCCTATGACAACTACCTAGCTGTCTGTCCAGAGTCTATGAGCTCCCACAAGCTCAGGTAAGCTGTCTCTGTGGGTTTTCCTGTCGTGATCTTGATGCTCATATAAATCCTCCACCCTCTCTTCAAATGGACTCCCAGAACTTGGATCAGTGCTTGGCTGTGGATCTCTGGTTCTGCTTCCATCAGGTGTTGGATGAAGGCTCTAAGATGGCAATTAGGGTAGTCACCACCCTGATTACAGGGGAAGGCCAGTTCAGGCACCCTCTCCACTATTGCTAGGAGTCTTAGCTCGGGTCATCCTTGTGGATTCCTGGAAGTTTGGCTGGCAACAGGCTTTTCCCTAATTCTATAATGGCCCCCTCAATCATGATACCTTTTTTATTACTCTCCCTCTCCATCGTGCGTGCAACTCAACCATCCTGACCCCTCGTGTTCCCATCTCCCCATCCACTTCCCTCTACCCTCCTTGTCCCCCGTTTACCCAGCACCTCTCACCCATTTTCTCTTCCCAGGGAGATCCATGTGTCCCTCTCAGGCTCCTCCTTGTTACCTAGTTTCTCTGAGGCTGAGGATTGTAGTCTGGTTATCCTTTGCTTTACCTCTAATGTACTCACTTATGAGTGAGTACATACCATGTTCATCTTTCTGGTCTGGGTCACTGCATTCAGGATGATTTTTTTGTTTGTTTCATCCATTTGCCTGCAAATTTCATGATGTCATTGATTGTATCTGCTGAGTAATGCTCCATTGTGTAGGTATACCACATTTTCACTAGTTCCCTTTCTATTGCCTTTATAAACTCCATTACCAAAATCATTTTGAAAAGAAAACAGTGTTTTGGGCTTACACACTCTATTCACAGTCTATCACTGGGGGAAGTCAGGATAGAAACTCTCCAGGAATACAGGCATGAACACGGGAAGAATATTGTTTCCTGGTTTGCTCCCCATAGTTCAATGTTATGGAATAATCTTTTTGTACATTGTGAAGATGTGTCTTTGCAAGGCGCCTTCTGATTAGTTTAATAAAAAGCTAAATGGCCACTATCTAAGCAGGAGAGATAAAAAGGACAGCCAGACAGAGAACTCTGGGGGGAAGAAAGGCAGAGTCACCAGCAGACAAAGAGGAAGCAGCATGACAGTACAGAGTAATGGTAACCAAATCATGCAAAAAAAAATGTAGACAAAAGATATGGGTTAGTTTAAGTTATGAGCTAGTTAGAAACAAGCCTAAGCTATCACCCAAGCTTTTATAATTAATAAGTCTCCATGTCATAATTGGGGAGATGGCGGTCCCAACAAAAAAGCCCAACTACAGTTTATTAATGCTTTCTTAAATTAGCCAGGACCACCAGCCTAGGGGTGTGCCACCCACAGCGGACTGGGACCACCCACATCGATCCTCAATATAGAAAATGTCCCTATAGGTGTGCCCCAGAGTCAATCTGATGGAGGCAGTTCCTCAAATGAGGTTTTCTCCTCCAAAAAGACTATAGCTTCTATCTTGTTGACAAAAAAAAAATCCACAATTACATGGAAACTAGTCAACATCAGAACATAACTGAGGCTGCAGCACAGAGCACACAGTGCTAAGCACAAAGGCATCTGCAGTCTCATGCAGCTCACTCTCCCTTCCTTCTTTCAGGGCCCCTTTTCAACAGAGCCATGGGTCAGTTATTCTCTGATACATCCAAGGATGAAGACAGTGGAGATTTGGAGACCAGCTTCATTGCATATTTTAAGAAAATAAAGACGGAAAACAAAATCATTCCTCAGGAAACCATCCGTTTAATAGAATTACATCTGAAAAAAGGAAACATTCAGGGGGCACACTCTGTAATCAGTGATGCATTAAAAAATGTCGATAAAGTCCCAATCAACATTGCTGTGACAGGAGAGTCTGGAGCAGGGAAGTCCAGCTTCATCAATGCCCTGAGGGGGGTTGGACATGAAGAGGAAGATGCAGCTGAAGTTGGAGTAACAGAGACAACTAAGGAGAGAACTCCATACAAACACCCCAAAATTAAAAATATGACTTTATGGGACCTGCCTGGCATTGGAACCACAAAATTCCCACCAAAAGATTATCTGGAGAAAGTGGAATTCCAAGAGTATGACCTCTTCATTATTGTTTCTGCCACACGTTTTACAAAACATGAACTAGAACTTGCCAAAGCAATCAGATTCATGAAAAAGAATTACTACTTAGTGAGAACCAAGGTGGACATAGATTTAGACAATGAAAAGAAATCCAAACCACGGACCTTTGACAGAGAAAAGATCCTGCAGAAGATCAAAAGCTACTATGTAAATACCTTTAATCAGAATAACATGGAAGCACCAGAGATTTTCTTGATTTCTAGCAGCCATTTATCTGACTATGATTTTCCAGTTCTGATGGACACCCTGATAAAGGATCTTCCTGTTCAAAAGCGCCACAATTTTATGCTTTCCTTGCCTAATATCACGGAGGCAGCCATTGACAGAAAGCAAAAGTCTATGCAGCAGAATATCTGGTTGGAAGCCTTCAAGGGTGGAATTTTGGCTACTGTTCCTGTAGTGGGCATCATCAGGGATGATGTGGAGAAATTGAAGGAGAAGCTAAACCACTATCGAGACCTCTTTGGAGTGGATGATGAATCCCTGGAATTCATGGCTAAGGCTTCCCAAGTGCCTGTTGAACGACTGAAAGAAATCATTAAATCTCCTTATTTGTTGGACACTAAGAATGAAGAAACATTAGGAGAAATGTTTTTGAAATGTTTGGAGAAATTTGCCTCAGCTAATGGTGGGCTCCTTGCTACAGGTCTTTACTTTAGGAAAACCTTTTACATGCACCTTCTTTTCCTTGACACAGTGACTGATGATGCCAAAGTTCTCCTTAGAGAGACATTAAAAAACAAAGAACTAGTTCAAACTCACCTCACCCACAGCTACTGACCATGACAACATGAAATGGTTAATGCCAGGGAGTCATTAGATAAATTCCTGCTCCTGACATATTTTCTTTACACTAGTCAATTGTTATAGAATATTATTTTAAGGTATGTTTTGTTTATGTTGCATTTGTTGAACTCTGTGGAGCTGTGTAAAATACCTGATGGTCTAATAAAGAACTGGCCGATAGCAAGGCAGGAGAAAGGATAGGTGGGGCTGGCAGGCAGAGAGAATATATAGAAGGAGAAATCTGGGAGAGAGCTAGGAGAAAGAGAAGGAGGAGGACTCCAGGAGCCAGCCACCCAGCTACACAGCCAGCCGTGGAATAAGAGTAAGATTTACAGAAGTAAGAGAACAGGAAAAGCCCAGAGGAAAAAGGTAGATGAAATAAGTTAAGGAAAGCTGGCAAGAAAGAAGCTAAGCTAAGGCCAGCATTCATAAGTAAAAATAAGCCTCCATGTGTGATATTTGGGAGCTGCCCCCAAAAGAGAAAAAAAAAACAACAACCAACAACAGCCAATTAACGATCACCATGGGAAAAACCTAAAGATAAGGGCCATGGGTCTTACTATGTCAGAACTTTAAAATCCCCAGTCTCTCTACTCTCTATCTTCCTCTCTGACGGTCAACTCCACCTGAACACTTGAATACAAACACACACACACTCCTCTCTCTCTCTCTCTCTCTCTCTCTCTCTCTCTCTCTCTCTCTCTCTCTCTCTCACACACACACACACACACACACACACCACTCAATAATGCACAAGCACACACACACACACACCACTCAATAATGCACAAACGCGCACACACACACACACACACACACACACACACACACACACACAAAAGATACCAATAGGTGTTTTATAGCTATTTTCTCCTAATCAAAACATTCTAATGAAAACTCGGGAAGTTGGGGGCTCTGTGATCAGTGCATAAAACACTTGCCATGCATGTATGAGGACCAGAGCTCAATTTCCAGAACCCATTTAAATGGTGAGTGGGTGTGGCATCCACCTTGTACTTCCACATTCAGAAGGCAGAGACAGTGGAACCATGAAGCTAGCTAGAGTGTGTATATCTACAACCTCTTGGTTCAATTGAGACACCTGCCTTGATGAAAAAGACAAAAAGCAATTGAAGATGAGGTCCAACATAAGTCTGACATGCCCACACACAAGTGAGAATACACACCATACAGACAGGCAAATTGAAAATATAAAATAAAATAATTCTTGGGAAGTAAATAAAAATCTCAAGACTTACAAAGTAAAGAAATATATAAGATTCACGAAGTTCTCCTCAAGGTTATATAAGCAAGAAGCATTCTGTGGGACTGGGGATTTCAAACAACTGAGGTGTCTGTAACTCATTGAGGGGGCTCCAGGGATGCAGCTGTGGTGAATCATTACCCTGCTGCTGGGGTGGGATTTTCAATGATGAAGCTGCCTTTAAGTGATCGATGTTTCTGTAAGCAACCCTTGCCCTAATAAAGTCACTCATTTGCTAAGCTGGACTCAGAAGACTTGTTTTGTTTTGTTTTGTTTTGTTTTTGTTCTGTCATTGGTGCCTATACAAGGCGAATAGAAATTTGTTGGTGTCTCTCCAAGAAAAGATCATACAACACAATTGATGCCTTGAACAGGGACTAGGAGAACCAACGATGAGTTGATAGGACTAGTTGCATTGTTCTTAAGATGGGTGCTGATATGTGAAAGTGAGACTGCCCTCGTGATCAGCCTCCTCAATCCTTGTGGTGGTTGGAAAGGAAATGCCCCCCACCCCCATAGGCTCATAGGAAGTGGCACTATTAAGAGTTGTGGCTTTGTTGGAATAGGTGTGGCCTTGTTGGAGGAAGTGTGTCACTAGGGTTAGGCTTTGAGGTCTCAGATCTCAAGCCAGGCCTAGTGTCTCACTCTCTTCCTGCTGCCTGCCAATCAAGATGAATAACTTTCAGCTACCTCTCATGCACCATGACTGCCTGCATGCCTACATGCTTCCCACCCCGATGATAATGAACTAAACCTCTGAACTCTAAGCCAGCCACAATTAAATGATTCCCTATAAGAGTTGCAGTGTTCATGGCATCTATTCACAGCAGTAAAATCCTAATTATGACAACACTATACCCAGATATAGCTACATAGAAACTACAAAAAGTTTGGTAGTTGTTGGGAGAATCCTGTCCATTGTCTGTAGTGGGGTGTACATGCAGCCCAACAGGGGGTAGGTAATGTCCTAGGATGGTAGGTGCTATGGTAAGATTTGCAGTATAATGCATGCAGGTGAAGGTCCCAGGTTGCCCAGTGCATTATCAGAAGAGGACTGTATGTTAAACACAAACCAAGAGGAGCCCAGGTTGCTAAGCTATCCTCATGTGCTTGCCTGTCTGAAGGGGATGACAGAGGGCAGTAAAAAGTACTAATACAACCTTAATAAATTTGCCGGCTCATTAGACCTGACATGGGTGGGATCACTTCTTTAGCTTGTCATTGTTCAGTTTCAAACCCAGGGCAAGTGTTTGAGATACCTATTTAACATATCAAAGCTGAACCTGGCCACCAGGTTCTCCCAGGACCCCTCAGTCCCTACCTGTTAGAGGGTATGGCTCATATAACACCCTCTACCCTGAACTCTCCAGCCCAGGGACTGGGCTGCCCTTCCACCAAAGGCTCTTCCCTATTAATCCAGACATTTTGTCTATCCACCCCCTTGGAACTTTGGCCTCCCAGCTGCTCTACCTGGTTTCCTCTCTCCCCTCTCCCTTCTCCTCCTTCTCTCCCCACACAGCCCAGCTCAGTCTGCTCATGTCTGTTCTGGACTCTCCCAGATGTCCCTGCCTCTGACTATGCCCTTCCTTTTATTTACAGTAAACTTTTTCCTCCACCATACCTGGGAACAGTCACAACCTTTCCTTTGTATTTCTTTTTTCATTCAGTCATCAGTGTCCTATCTGGTCTGAATAGGCAATTTTTCATCTCTTCCCAGGAAAAGTCATATAATAGGAGAGATGGTTTGTCTTAAATAGTCATTGTCACAATACTGAGTTTGCTGTCACAGGCCCTAAAAAGTAATCTGCACATTTTGTTTCTCTGTTGGTGTGATTAAACACTAAATGTCAGAACACAGTCCATGAAGGAAGCTGGATGAAGAGATTTCTCAGAGGTTAAGAGCACCGACTGTTCTTCCAGAGGTCCTGAGTTCAATTCCCAGCAACCACATGGTGGCTCACGACCATCTGTAATGAGATCTGGCGCCCTCTTCTGTATACATAATAAATAAATAAATCTTTAAAAAAAAAGAGAGAGATTTCTGAGAGCTTGTGAGAAAACTTCAAGTAAACCAGACAAGAGTCCTGTAACCTCTGCTCCTCCATAGCATGGATCTGTTCTTGGGATGTGCTGTCATGCCCCTCTCAGGAGTAGTAAATAAGAGTGGGTTTACTTTAGATTATCCATCATCTGACCCATTGTTATTCAGAATGATGTTTTCAAGCATGAGTTGTCCTCCTGCCTGTATAGAGACTAAACTCATGTGACCTTGCCTTTGTGGCTGTACATAACTTGAATGCAAGTGAACTTTGCTCACATGACCTTGCTTAACCACAGAATGCCCTCAGAATATAAACTGTCTCATGTCCTGAATAAAATTGGCTATTGCATGAGACTTTACACTGGCTCATTTTGGGGGGTCACTATCCCAGGTTCTTGCTGCCAAATACAGCAGAAACATTAACGAAATCAACCTGAGAGAGGAAAAGATTCTTTTCCTGGCAGTTCAGAGCCCATCATCGAGGGAAGACAGCACAGGAACGGAAGGAGAAACTGGGAAGGAACACTGCTTCCTGACCGGCTCTCCATGCCTTGCTCACCCTGCTTTCTCACACAACCCAGCCCCACATTCCTAAGATGGCACTCCACAAGGGGCTGGATCCTCCTACACCATTATCAATCAAGAAAATGTCTCACAGACATTTGGACAAACCAGTCTGATGGAAGGAATCTCTCAATTGAGAGTCCCTCTTCCAATGTGGTCCTATGCTCTAATCACAACACTCTGGTGATTAATTATTACCAGGTATGATTGTGCTCATGTCAAAGCCTCCATCATATTTACTAGATTAATACAGTGCCCCGTATATCTACCACATTCTTCTCTTCCCATTTTCAATCATTCTTCTAGTGTTGAAAGTTCCAGTACAACTGGCAGGGAACCTGCTACTACACAGGTCTGCCCGTCCTTTGGAATTGTTTGTTTGATTGTTTGTTTGTTGCTTGTAGTAAAGAACATGGATAGTACATTTCAGAAGAAAAAGAAAAGAAAATTCTTATGAAACACTCTTGGAGTGGGGTGAATAAAGACTTTGTGTGCAATGAAGACTCAGTGCAGGTCAGGGTTATTTCCAGAGGTTCCAGGTGTAATATGGCCCACAGGAAACCACGGTATCACTTTAGCCTATTTGGAGGCAGAGATTGTTGGAGTTGCAGTGAAGTGACAGTCCTGAGCTCAGGATCTGTGGCACCTAGGACTTAAGTTCATATAAACTCTTAAGACTCAGGAGAATCGAGATAACATACACACAAGTCTGTGACTCAGACTTATTGCTCAGTAGCTCATTTCAAGACACAGAATGTGATGGGATCTTTGTCCCTGGGGAACAGAGCACAGCACTGGCATAGTTCTAACAGGAAAGGGATGCTACAGAGACTCCTGCTCAGTAGAACAGGATTCTATTCCAACACGAGTCACAGTTGCCAACAGATAGTATTTCAGGCCCCCAGTGATTGGGCATGATGCAGTAGTGACCCTGGACCCCAGGTTAAAAGGACGTGGCAGTCACTGTACTCTTTAAAGCCAGTGGATAAAGTAGAAAAAAATAAGCTGCAAATGGCAAGTTATAGTTAGGCCTTGAGTCTTGGGGTCATGGGAGAATGGTCATGGATTAGATGCCAAGATTTTTGCAGAAGAGGAAAGCAAGTGTCTATGGGTACCTGGTCTTTGAACACATCCTCAGTCAATAAGACTCTTCTTCCTCAGCAGCCTGAGTAGCACCTTCCAATACTGTGAATGCTAGCTACAGAGCAAGAAGCTTTCTGGTCAGTAACAACATATTTCTATGTCATGTGACCAAAGCATATGGTGTCTTCATCAACAGAATCTAAGCATCACCTCCTGGTGGGGAATCAAGAATAACACCAGTAGCCTG